GCATGACCTCCACACTATTAATGTTTTATTAGTGTTCTGCAAAATACTTTCCATCAAACCAGAATTCACTCTGTATCTGCCATGAAAGGCCAAAGAAGACAAACTCTTCCATCTTCTAAATGTTAAACTCTAGAAAAGTTCTCCAAGCCTGAATATATGCATTAAAAGAACTAAGTGTTAACATCGTTTTGTTTCACACTTTTTAATTTTAAGTTGCTGTTTTTAGTTTTCCAGCATGCAAAATCATCATTTAAAAAAAGGAGCAACTCTATTTTTTGGGTCTTTTTGAGACAGGGTCTCCCTGTAGCCCCAGCTGGCCTGGCACTAGCTGTGTAGGCCAGGCTGGCCTTGATATCAGAGGTCTGCCTGCCTCTGCCTCCTGAGTGCTGGGATTAAAGGCGTGTACCGCCTGCCCGGCTATTTTTTAAATTAATTCTTTTGAGAATTTCATACATGCACACAATGTATTTTGCCTGTATTTTCAACTGTCAGTTCAGATTTTTATTTTCCTAATAGCCTTCAATACAAACACGAAGGAATGTTCTTTACAACACTGGAATGTCTTTCCTGGGCATGACGGACAGCACAAGTCCATCCCTAATTTATCCTTTAGTGCTATAATCCAACTTGTATTTAGGTATGAGCACAAGGGTTCATAATTATGCTGCCATATTACAAACTGTCGCATTTATAAGCGTGAAAAGTAAAGCACACCAAACAAACATGAATCTGTTATGTTCCAATGTGCAAATGTTTACAGTTGCAAAATACTGAACAAAAGTTGCAGGAGTGGGGGCTGGAGAGTTCACTCAGCTGTTAAGAGCACTGACTGCTCTTGCAGAGGAGCCGGGTTTGATTCCCAGCACCCACATGGTGGCTACAAACCGTCCTCAACTCCAGTTCCAGAGGGATCCGAAGCCCTCTTCTGACTTCCGAGGCATTGCACAACACGGGTGCACTCACATACAGGCAGGGAATACACTCATACACATAAAAATAATTAATAAAATATTAAAAAAAAAGTTGCAGGAGTGAAAACAAAGATGCCAGCGTGGCATTCATTTAAACTGCACTACCCGTAGGTTTTAGTTACTGTAGCATTTTGCAGCGTACTTCGCTGGTAAGGCATTCCACTGGGATGCTGCACTGAAAAAAGTTCCTTTGATAAATTATTAAGACTTATATTGTGGAGGCTGGAGAGATGGCTCAGTGGTTAAGAATAGTGGTTGTTCTTGCAGAAGACCCGGTTTCAAATCCCAACACCCACATGGCAGCTAACAACTGTCTGTAACTCCAGTTCCAGGGGATCTGATGGCCTAGTCTGTCCTCCATCTACATTGCATGACACGGGTACACTTATCTACATGCAGGCAATATACCCATACATATAAAATAAAAATAATAAATAAAATATTTTTTAAAAAAGACATATCATCTTAGGGAATGGTAGCACAAAAAAAAAAAAAATTCAAAATGGCAGGGCTGCAGAGACGGCTCAGTGGTTAAGAGCGCTGGTTACTCTTGCAGAGGACCCAAGTTCAATTCCCAGCACCCACAAGGTGGGTAACAGCTGTCCGTAACTCTAGTTCCAGGGGAATCCAATGCCCTCTTCTGGCCTCTGAGGGCATTGTCTGACATGGGTACACTTACATACATGCAGGCTATACACTCATACACAGAAAATAAAATATTTTTTTAAATGCTCATTGTGTTAACACACTGAAGTCATGGGACTGCTTAATCCATTGTTTCCTGTGTTATCTGAACAAGAATCTTTAGTGTGCATACTGAAAAAGTCTGTGAGATAAAGTTACATAAAGGGTGTTTTCTATACACAAACATCTTTTGGGATGGTATAATAGAATTTGAAATTAAAGCAAGAAAATATTTTATTTGATCTTTTCCCCTGAAAAACAGCATTGCAAAGGTATATGAGCTCATTTTTAATAGTCAATTAGTGCAAGCTTTAATGAACCTACCTGAGTATCCAATAATGCTTCCCAGCCAAGATAAAACTTTTAAGCCAAAATTCTGATGTACAACAACAGATGAATGCATGACTTGAACTTTGAGAGGCTTTGTCTGTCTACTGGTATTTCTCTTAAAAGGAAATGGCAAGATGAAAACTAACTTAAAAGGCTATTTTAATGGCAGAAAAAGTTAGCATTTTTAATGTACCCACACCATGAACATACAGAATTTTTCATGTCTCTGTGCTATTGCACAGACAGCGCTAAGTTGTTTTAACGTTAATTGATCCATGCTCTTATTTTTAGAAGGAATCTTCAGATGCACTGAACATGGTAAGAGGGGTCCAGCATTTGAGTCACACGAATCTTTGGTCATATATTTGAAAATATGCCGATCAGGAACAAATACCTTAAATGCTTAAGCTTGCTTTATGTCTTTAGTTTCTTAATACATTTACATATTTGCTCTATCTAGTTCATTATATGGACGTATGTTATTAATACTTTTAAAAAACTATGGTAAAATACATATAAAATTAGGGTCTTAACCATTTCTAAGTATGCAGTTCAGTCCTGATGTTAAGTACTCACATTGTCGTAAAACCAATCTTCAGAGCGGTTCACCTCAAAACCCAAATTTTATACCACTTAATAACAAGTACTGGCCCCTTCATTTCTGTGCTAAAACGTTACTAGATTTCTTTTCCAAAAAATAACTGCAAATTAAATTTTTCTCCACAAGTTCACACTCCATTCTCTGCATCTGGAAACAGGAGTCTTAAGGCATTGCTTTCTCTATACTAAAGGGTAGGAACATTATTTTACAGACTACTGGTGCGCCTGAGAGTCTTTTCATGCTCACTGGCCACTCTGGTCTCTCTGCTGTGACCCTCTTGGATCTCCCGCTTATGTCTTGAGTCTGCTGTCTCTCACCTACTTGCTTAACCTGTAAGAATGCTCAGTGTGTATCTGGGGACTGTACTTCAGTGCACGGACCTGCCTTTAAATCCCAGCACTAGGGGAAAAATGCTCTGACTGGGCATGGTGGCATACATCTTTAATTCCAGGACTTAGGAGGCAGAGGCAGATGGATCTCTGTGAGATTAAGGCCAGCCTGGTCTACATAGTGCGTTCCAGGCTAGCTTGAGATACAAAGACCCTGTCTCAACCCCCCCCACCACCAAAAGAAGCTCTTTTCCTCAAACATTAAATATATGCCCCCTGTATGAAATGTTTTTTCCGAATCTACCATCTGTATTTTGACTTTGTGTATGAAATATTTTGTTAGATAAAATTTGTATGTGGCCAGATAATATATATAATTCATTTTCTGCAACTTGGGGCTCCAGTCCTGGTTAAGTGTTCCCCCTTGCAGTTGCCTAGATTTTCCTCACAGGAGTAAGATTTCTAAACTCCATTCTGTATCAACTAAAATATCTGTCAACTCTGATGCAAATACCACCAGGTATTATGTTTTTTTTTATTGGGGGGGGTCTTTCTGAAACAGGGTCTTACTAGGACCAGCTGGCGTGGAATTCAAGAGATCCACCTGTTTCTGCCTCCTGCGTGCTGGGATTAAAGCATGTACCACCATGCCCAGTGTTCATTAACATGGGTGTAAGAAATCTGTGGTATGATGACTTGGACTCCTTCAGGACGTAGCCAGGAGTGGTATAGCTGCATTTTAAAGTAGTTCTACTTTCTGTGTTGGAGAGGCTTCCATGTTGATTTCTACAGTGGCCTTACTAATTTACACTCGTGTACTTTATCATCAAGTGTACAAGGGCTCCTATTCTCCGACATCCTCACCACTGTTTGCAGTTTGTTCTCTTTTTTTCTTTTTGTTTTTGAGACAGGGTCATGCTACACTGGCCTGGAATTCGCTGTGTAGACCAGACTGGCCTCTCAGTCTTACAGAGACCCACCTGCTTCTGCCTCCCACGTGCTGGGATCAGAGGCATGTGCCACCATGCCCAGTGGTGTTGTTTGTTTTGCTGACAGTCATTCTGACTAGGGTGGAATCTCAAAGTAATTTTGATGTGGATTTCTCTGGTGGCAGAGGGAGTTGGACATCTTTTCATGTATTTGTGGAGTTTGTACTTCTTGTTTTGAGACTTGTCTATTCAGCTCATTTGCCTATTTCTTGATTGGATTATGTTGGGCATTTTGGTCTTTACTTTTTCGAGTTCTTTGTATATTATGGATATTAATCCTCTGGCAAATAGCTGGCAATGATTTTTCTCCCATCTATCGGCCATCTCCTTCCTGTTAGCTGTTTCCTTTCCTGTGTGCCGCCACACCCAGCTTACAATTTTTAAAACCAATACTGCTGAACATATAAAGTAGCTCTCAAGCAGCAAACATGAACCTCAGAAATCTAGGAATCAACGCTGTCTCCCAATCTTTTTTTGATGGAATGTTTTGGGAATGTGTGTCATCCTGTGCATGAGCCACTGTCTTCTGCATCCTAATTTTAGGGATGTGTTGCTGAAGCCTTCTGAAAAGAGCAGTCTAGAAAGATGACCAGCTCCACGCAGGAGTATTTTTGAATGTCAGTAATATAATTTCAATCTTAGGAATAATTAAAAAAAAAATTTTTTTAGAAGAAGCATTTCATTACAGCTTTAACATACTCAATAATAGTTTCCAGAGCAAAGATACATCTCTTTCAAAAGTGGCTATAAAATTTTTAGGTTTGCCAGGCGCGGTAACCGCAGGCCTGTACCTAGTCCCAGCACTTGGGAGGCAGAGGCAGGCCGACCTCTGAGTTCAGCCTGGTCTACATACTGAGTTCCAGGACAGC